GGAATGTGGATGTGGATGGTATACATGCAAATGGTACAGACTCTTCTTTTGTTCATTCGAGCAACCCGTGACAACAACTGGGAATTGCACTTATCAGCTGTGAGATCGATGCTCCCTTGGTTTTTCGCGGCAGACCGTGTCAACTACGCCAGATACGGATCGATATATTGGCTTGAGATAATTTGCCTTAATACGACTCATCCAGGTACACAAAATTATATTCAGTACTTAGATTACAGTGGATCATAGGTTTGTGCACGTATGTATATGCCATATGTTTATAATTGGCGCTTTTAGTAGGTTGTAAACTTCATTCCTTTGAACTCCTAGATGCACTACATGGAATCGAAGCAAACTGGACATGTCAACGACAACAAAAATATGGCTTTTCATCCTCAGCGTGCGATCAAGTTATGGAGCAGACCTTCAACCGGGACTCAAAGACGAAAGGTGGGATAACGGGATTTACTCTTAATAGATCTGCCGTTCAGCGATGGATTCTTGCACAGTCGGAAAGAGGCTCAATTACAAGACAGTGCTATTCTCTTGCTGGGCTTTCTAAGAACGAAAGGTACTGTAAGTAGAGCGTTTCTAATTTCAATAAATTTATTGCTGGAATTTGGAAAGAAACTATTACGATTTAAATACATGCAAGTGCTTGTACGGTGTCATATATTATTTCATGATCAATTACATGACAATACATTACATTACATTACAGAGCGCGTAAAGACCTTGATGTGTCCCAGATGATATACCATAACTCTGAAATATCCGCTGTAATTGAAACGATCTCAGCAATGACAAACCCGTTTGATCCCGATCTGAAAGATCTTATAAACATCGCCAGTGGGGAGGTGGCAAATCCTTGCGTGGTGACTGATATGCTAGCCGCAAAAGAAATTGGTGAAAGAAAATTCAAAGAGTTTGTGGACGACAAAGTCAAAGCTGAAAAGCCAGATATATTTACAACAATCCCGAAAACAAATCTAAAGACCTTTACGAAACGAAATGTCAAATCGCAAGTAAAAACGAAGAAAGGTGAGATCGTTGAACTAAGAAACGATGCAAAGTTTATCTCTCGTTTGTTGGCAATCGGTGAATCTAGAGAAGTTGATATGAAAAATCTTATGTCGTACAGTTTAAGAAAGTTCCCACATCCTTTTGCAACAGTTGATGGTGAACTTGTGAAAAGCCCAAAATGCAAACTTCTTCATGAATTGGTTGGCCGTGTAACTGATCCAATGGTTGAAACGACACAGACGTCAGGAGCCTTGTTACTCGACGCGATGGCAATGTTGCAGACATTGAAATATATTCCCCAAACATTTGGAGAACTAGCGGAGAAGATTTTGCAGATGCTCTTAAGTTGTGCCAGAGCTGCAAATGCAGAAAGAGTTGACTTTGTAAGCGACAGATATCCAGCTGTCAGTATTAAGAACCTCGAGCGAAACAAAAGAGCAGTATCCGGTGTAACACAAATCAGAATAGGAGGGCCAAACCAGAAAGTGCCTCGCCAATTCAAAAGGTTCCTCAGTCTTGGAGAAAACAAGGAATCGTTGATAGAGTTTATATTTAAGCACTTTTGCACGATGAAATTGGAAGGAAGGCTTTCTCGACTCTCCCTGTACTTTTCCCATGGACAGATGTGTCATCGGTTTTATGTTGATGTGAGAAATGTGGTACGAGTTGAAGACGTCCCAGAATTATACTCCGACCATGAAGAAGCGGATGCTCGTCTCATTCTTCATGCAAAACACGCCTCGACTGAACATCACGTAATAACCGTGCGAAGTCCCGATACGGACGTATTTGTTTTGATGCTAGGCCACAAGGACGCGATTGATGCCATGCTGTATTTCGACACTGGGTCTGGCAACCACCGAAGAGTGCTTGATCTTGATCAGTGTCATCGCCAGTTAGGTGCTTCGTTTTGCGATGGATTAATTGGATTTCATGCGTTTACAGGTAACTGAATTTTTCAGTCCAGTTAACTCGCTACCATTTAAATTTTCTACATGGGAAATAAACTGCAGTTACAGCCCAATTTCCGATCCATATCTTATTTAATATTCCCCACTTCGATGTTTCTCTTGTCCGTTTTTAGGCTGTGACAGCACGAGTTCATTTTATTACAAGGGAAAAGTTAATATTTTGAAGGTTTTGGACAAGAATCTTGAATTCTTGCCTGCTTTTCAGACTATTGGATCCACTTTCATCCCAAATCCTGTTTTGGAGAAAGAGATCGAGAAGTTTATCTGCCTATTGTATCAACAGAAACAAGTGGACGATGTAAATGTAGCACGTTATAATATTTTCCGACTTGGAAAGTATTGTGAAAGGGATATGCCATGCACCAAAGATGTCTTAAGAAAACACCTAAACAGAGTTGTGTACCAGGCTGCAATTTGGAGAAGAGCTTTAACTCCCATTACCGATTGCCCTAACATAGCCGAACATGGCTGGCTTGTTGACAACGACGGGAATGTATCCATAGATTGGATGGATTTACCACCTGCCCCAGATGGGATCCTTGAAAATGTTCAATGTGGATGTAAAACGGGATGCACGTCAAATAGATGTTCATGTCGCAAGGCCAACTTGCAATGCACAAGCATTTGCCGATGCAATCATTGTTCAAACGCAACACAAGAAAGTGATGAAAGTGATACAGATGCTGACGATATTGATGAAAATGACTTTGATGATGAACATTAAACGTACTGAGAGACATCCCGTACATAGCTAGAAATCATGGAAATGATTATTCTATTTCCTTACTAATTTTACATATCATTAATACATAACCCGTTGAAATATGGCTTCGATAGTAAACAGTAAATTATATTACGGGATGCTTTAAATTGCAAAATCAAAGAATATTGGTAGTCGTTTGCAATTTGCCCCGATTGCTGGTTGCAGAACAAGGTCTGTTGAAATATATCGTGTGGTGTTTGCCTGGTGTAAGTTACTGCCTATTCTGCATTTTCGTTTGTTTCTAGTAGCCACGGTACTATTATATGTTAAATAGAAAAATTCCGTACATACTAACCTCTGTACAAATACGGAAAATACAGAATGGTCACTAACTAAAATCAAGTCAACATTACGCTAAATACTTCGATAGACTTTGATTTATAGCCAGAGACTGAGGCAAGTTGCAAACGACATACCACATTCTCTGATTTTTGGATTTACAGCATCGCGTAATATAATTTATTGTTTACTGCAGAAGCCATATTTCAGATAACGTGATATGCAAATTGCGAAGTAGAATAAATCATGTCCGTGATTTCTGGCCTTGATTACTATTTCCTGTCAATTCTGATTCGGTGTCATGAATTTGTGTAGATGCATTACATTATTAACTTTTATATTAAAATGGATAGGATACATTGACTTTTCTAAGAAAATTTGCATGTTTAGTCCTTCACTCACATTTCACAGATTTCTGGCCACTAAAAATTCCTACATTGCACAAAACGTAGCCCAAAGTGACACACGGTAGATAAGATGCAGTAAAATGCTGACTCGGCATTTTTTTTAAACTTTGGTAAGCAATATCTCAGTAACGAGTGACTGAAGGTGGTCGGTATACTATAGTTTTTTTGTTCACTTGTGTGTAACTATATGATGGCATTATAAAATTTTCAAAATTCGAAAATTTTTATTTTTCATTACTATAGATGACGTCATCGACGGAATAACATCGATTTCTCAGTCTTGTGCACAGTTATGATTGGTTTTTTTTTTTATTATTAAATTTGGCATGCTCCTCCATGACTTTATGAAAGAACTGGTTAGTCTCGCGATATGTGCAACGAAAATCGTTTTCTAGGCACATTTTTAGATAGCAGACGACGGCCTAATATTTATATCGGTGAAGGCTACGCTATCAAAATACTCTATTTTTTATATATGCTCAAATTGAAACGGAGTCATTGTACTCACACTGATTATATTGTGTGCAAAACTTAAAAAACATGAAATATACTAAATAACATGAAATATATTTATAAAAATATCAAACAAAATTCTCATTATAAGGCCAAATAAAAAAAACTTGGTTAGCAACACCGCCCGCCTCTCCATTTCTTGCCACTTCTGAATTTCTTTTTTTATGTAAATCTCTTCGTTTTACAGCTTAAAAACAAGGTTCTTATAGCAAAATGGCAGCTTTCGCAACATCAGTACAAAAAATATCACCGATATGGTCCCAAAAAATACTATTAAAAATTAAAAAAACGAGTAAAAATTTTTAAAAAAAAGCGCCCGCCCACCAAGTATTTTTTTTATTTGGCCTAAATACTATTGAAATTTAATACAACGAAATATATATAGCATTCTACGTCGATAATTTCAATCATAGTTTAATAATTATTTTTAATCTGTATTAATTCACCGTTTCCATGTTTTTTTAATACTTTCAATAAAGCTACAATATTTAAAGCTAAATTTGTAAGAAATAACATTATTTAGTTATAAAATAGTAAAGGAAATCTAACAGTCAATCGCTTTCGATAAAACCTTCACCTCGTTTATATTACCGTCGTTTGCAACTAACGATGAACAGTCGCTCATAGAAACATTGCCTATTCGTGTGAGAATCTTAAGTTTTCTTATTTTGACATAATAGCTATTTTTTAATGAAAATATTTATTGAATGATATTAAACTTATTGAATCAATATTTTAAGTTTCAGGCCAGTTGTACCAAAAGTTATAAGCGGTAGCGCATCATAACCAGGGCACAGGATCAAGGGTCACAGAGAAGCCTGATTTCTTGGTTTTTCCTATGATTTTCCAATGACTTTGGCGTGACCGTAATTCATCATCAAAATGCAGACGCCATGGTCCTGGCTGGTGCGCTTTTGGGAGGCATTCACCCCCTGATAATATTCAAAATGACAGACGTCCAGGGGGGAATGCCTCTTTGGCACGCACTGGCTGGGATGTGGCAGCGGTTACTCTAATCGACCTTCTGTGTGTCTTTGTTCAGTGCCAGGGGGGTGGCTGCTTCTGTTTACGGTACTTGCTGAGTGACAAATCATGACGAATGGCACTTATGCAGAAAACAATGGAGATGGATTTATGTATAGTATTCTGAGTCATGAGGTTTCATGGTTTTGATGGCATGCAACATGTACGCACTGCGTACCTATTTTTATATAAATTTATGGAGATATTGCCCCTTTAGGTGATGAGTGACATGATATATATAGGTATGCAAAACAGTGACATGATATATATAGGTATGCAAAAAACTAATGATATATATAGGTATGCAAGTTCATTTAAACTAAATTTGGTCAATCATATATCAATAATATTTGGTTGAAAAGACCAGATTTTTTCATGCAACTGTTTCTGAGATACTGCCATTTTGGTGAAAGCTCCTGAATTCAATCACATACTCGCCATATTGCTTGGGCGTTGGGAGGTAGAAACATTGTAACAGCTTGCCACGTTAATGAGTTAAGTTCCAATGCACCCCACTTTCCTATTGTACTCTGTCTATAATGCCAGAAAATTTTACTTGTCAAGGGGAGAGTGCTGACACTCGATAGCTTAATTGACTATTTGCTCATGTGTGTACGGTACTGTAGCTAACCCATTAAGTTGTGCTGCCCCATGCCCTACATGAATTCCTATTTTATCAGTTCTGTCTAATAGCAGATGATTTTACTTGTCGAGGGGAGAGCGTCAATGCTCAATGGGTTAATCACCGACTCTTGTCTTTAAAATTCTTGAAAATATATCACACCAATGTTCTTTGGTGTTCTGAGGGCTTCTAAAGTGGCACAAGCACAGAAGCCCTGGGTACGATGTTGCATTATACACAAGTGTAGCAAATAATCCATACGTACTGGAGTTTTGATTGCTAGCAATTGCAACAATCACTGCTGTTACTGAATACTGTACAATATACTTGCTATAGCCCATGACAGCTATTTAGTAAAATTTGAGAAAATCGCACTCACATTGTTGTTTAATTCAGTGAACACTGAATATGAATAAGCACAAAAATACCAGCCTTTGTCAGGGCATTCTTTTCACCCTTACCTCTAATAATTGTTAAATGATATTGGGGTTAAGTTTGTTGAGGGGTTAAAATATATTTATTATTTATTTATTTATTAATTAACTCTACAACCTTTTATACATGAACAATTAGACACTAATTAAATTTAAGAATATACACATAGAAAAGGGCAAATACTGTAAGGTGGAAGGTATATATAGTCAACAGGACAAGAATCCCATATTAAGCCAACCCAAGAAAGACCAACCCAAGAAAGACAACAATATATAGTACGTCATATAGGCCCAACATATATTTAAAGACACAAACACACATTTGCACACACATATATTTGAACATATATTCATAGCATTTCAATATTAGTTTTGACCACTTTTGAATTCACTATTTTCAAGCGTATGGCGGGAAAAAAGACATGATGCCCATCAAATTCAACCCCCAAACATCATATTGACGTCAGCTTTTTGGCAGAAACTTATACAGTTTTGCAAGTCAAATTTAGAGGTCAACCAAACGTCCACTATAATAAATAACTAAAGACGACATTACACAAGGAAACTTTTACCACGTTTTTCTCCAAGGACGTTTTCCATAGCGTATAAATATCATCAAAATATCAACGAGTCGAATGAAAAATATTGACGATATCAAACATGGTCTAAGTTCACAAATTTCCTGTGCATACACTTCTTCATATTATAAACATATACATGGCTCATTGGCTCTGTGACGTATTAAAAAATCTAATTTGTACTAACCTGTTTTGACAGAATATTGATATTACACAAGACAACCTTTCTTCTTTGAATCTTTCCTGACTTTGCCTTCAGCATTTGTGCAAATCAGCACAAGCACGTCTTGCAGCCGCTAAAAATGTCGCCGTTTGCTCGGCTTTGCAATATGAAACGCCCGAGGCATTTAATTTTTTCCTCCCGCCCGAGGCATTTTTTCGTCCCGCCCGAGGCATTTTACTGAAACTCACCGTAATCATATCTATTATTTCTATGGGGATTTTCCAAGGCTGAATTTTGGTGTAAGTCCAAGTGTAAATGCAAGGCTGGATTTTGGTGGAAGGTGGAGAAAATTAATTATGGGAGGTTGAGCCGATCTACAGGGTCCCACCCTTGTAGGGAACCATTGCCAGTCGCCCAGACAATAGTACTAAACACAGCAAGCACAGCAAAATCTTTGACAATTTCATATCTCTTAAATCACAATCTCACAAGAAGATACAAAAATCATAATTAAAAACAATAATCACCACCTGGCGAAAAGCACATGCAAATAGTGTCTGCCTATTGGCCAAAAACAACAATAAATTAGCGCGTCAGATCACTTCCGTTATTGAATTATTAATTAGGTTAGTATATCATCAACATGAACTATTTATATTATTTATGTCAGTTGATTAGTAGCGTTTCATTGTTTATTGTTCACATTAGTTCCGACACACTCCCCCCCCCCCCCATACATCTTTTCTAATAAGATGTGTGTAACAAAAGGAACTAATGCGCCAATCTCTTTGTCCAATCTATCCCTGTCTCCAAGATGATCAATCCTCTTTCTCAGCGAGCGCTTTGATCTTCTCTGCTGCATTCTCTGCCGCTTTCTTTTTGGGTCTGCGGATTGAGTGGTGGAGTTTCCTGTTTCTACAGTCTCTTGGACGCTTCATTGCGTCCAAAAGGTTATAATTAGTTGCATTAACGGCCGCTCCAGTCTTCCATTCCCCATCTTTGCCGGTAATAAGTCGGACGATCTTCCCCAATTTCCAGGTATTCCTATATATTCTCGTCTTCTCCCTTAACAATGATTAACAATGACAACATCTCCTACTTGTGGGTACGTATTCTGCTTTATATCCACGAACAATTTTATGCCTCTGCCGTAGTTCTGTCAGATACTCTCGGGTCCAGCGGCTCCATAGACCATCTTTCGTTGTACAAAGGAACCTGAGACGTTTCTTCGCTCAGGTCATGCTCTTCTAATTGATGAGATTGTAGCTCTGGTACCGCTGTGGGCTGTTGAAACATAAACGACTTCGGTATCAAGACAGGCAGCTGAGGGTCATCCTCCAAGTACGTTGTTCGGTTAGTGACGGTTGTTCATGGGCACTTTTACGTCGAGCACGATTTCTTCTAATTCAGAAAAGGACAAGAGTCCACCCCCAACTGTCTTACGAAACATAGATTTGAAGATAACGATGAGGCGCTGGTACTGACCGCCCCACCATGGTGCTTTCGAGAGGTTGAATCGCCAAACAATCTCAAGCTTGCGAAGAGCTTAATTCGTGGAATTTCTCTTCTTCCCAAACTTCACTTAGCCACGTCCGGCTGCCACTTTAAAGGTGGCTCCGTTGTCAGACACGAGCGAAGGTCTTCCTCGTCGGGCAATAAAGCGTTTAAAACTTTGTAACTCTTAACTCTTTTTAACTCTTCAGTTTCAAGGCTCTTTAACAGTTCCAGGCAGGCGTACTCCTCGTGTGAAGCTGCATGCGAAAACCACCATGCAAGTAAGCTAGCTTTCCTTTCGGCAACTTTCTTGCTGCTTGGAAGTGGACCAGTCGCAGGGTTCCCCCATGGTTTTGCTTGACTTCGCTTGCATCCCCAACAGTTGCTCCGAGCCCGCTTCACGAGGCTACACAATTTTGGAATCCTGCAGTAACGCTGTCTCGACCCAGACATTGTAAGCAAAATTCCACCATACAAGGTTGCTCTGCAATGTTCCAGCTTAACTAGCTTCTTTGAAACCAATTCAGTATCTGGGATCCGGGGGGACAGTGGGCAATGTCCCTGAATTCTGCCACGACATTCTAAAAGTCCGCCCTCATTTATCTTTATGCCATTTGTCTCGTTAATTCATCTTCCGAAATCAACTTTAGCAACCCACCACATGTCTTTCTTCAGGATTTCGTTATAACGAAGAGGACTTCCAATTCGGTTGTCTCTCTAAATTCTTGCAATTATATATAAATCTCTTGACCCACACACCGATTCTCAGGGTCTTTGTCAAGCTATGTTCTCATAATCATCTCGCTCAGGCTCAGCCACCGCAGCTGCTATGGCTTCAGACTGTGATGCTGAAGATGCATGGAAATGGGGGCTTTCAGGCTATTTCATTTCATCACCAAGCCACGCTGGACCATTAAGCCATTGCTCTGTCATGTGTGCCCTCTTCTGCTACCTAGGTCAGCAAGGTTCTCTGAGACTCTGAAGTAGGAACGTGATGCCATATTGCCATTCGATTTTGCTTGCTTGAATTTTTATCACACGATTAGCTACAAACTGTCGGTCCTCCCCCATGCCTCCTATCCAATACAAAGCAACTGTACTGTCAAGCCATGGCAGCTTTTCTTTTCATTTATTGTATATGTGAACGTTTCTTAAATTTAAAACTTGTTTTAATTTTTAATAAAACTAGAAATAAAAGGACAGCATATTATTTTCATGCATGAGCGACCTGTATGATTTAAATTGATTTAGTTCATTTCAAAGTTGAAGTAAAAGTATTATCCGGCAAAAAGCTATTCATTTCAATGAACATATAATATTTGGAAAAGGTGCGTTTCGTAGAAATTGATAGTTCTTTAGTTAAAAGTGTTAAATTTTTATTTGTTTTTTCTGTGTTGTACAAAAAATTTTAAAAAAATTGAAACAATGATCGTGTTGTCAGTATATGTAAATATTTCGAAGACTACAGGCTGTTTCATGATTTCGTTCCATCGAGGCTGGATATTAGGTTAGATAAAAATTATGCCATATTCGAAGCAAACCTGGCTCATATGGACAGGCCCTATCACGGTAAAGGTCTATTTACACTACACAACTTTTACCTAAAACTGTCTCATTAAGGTTACAGAACACCTTTGTGTGTACCCTGCTGGCAGTGGTTTCTGAGCTGAGGAGAAACCAGTGCGAGCAAACGAACGACTTTCTATCGAGCATGCGCGAAGATCACGTGATGGGAAGTCGCTAATTTGACTTCATTTCCTGTAGTTTGTTATCTGTAAACAAGCGTGGCATAGTACTGTTTTATATGTTGTCTGTCAGTTTTAATCGAACGACTTTTTAATTCTACACGCAGTTCACAATTTATATATAGGTTTTAATCTCGTTATTGCCAGTACTAAAATATTTTGAAATCGGTACCTCACCCTGCGGCTACAAATTGTGCATTTGAATTTCTGTTATATCTTTTTAAAATGTTGTATTTATCCGATCAATATCAATTTTTTTAATTCGGTTTACGAACTTTATTTGTGTTGCTTAAACGCTGGAGATTGTGTTAAGGTTTTCGTTAAATTCCAGTTCCCAAAGTTTCCAAGTATTAATATAATAGCGTTTCCAATTACTGTTGATTTTGACAATTATTGCAATTTTTGATCGTCGCGTATGAGGCGCCGTGTGTTGCAAAATTCATTCTTTTCTTTAACACACTATTGAAAGTTTACGGCACATATTAGAATAGAAAACCTTGTTTCACAACATGTGAAATACATACAGCCTATGCTGAAACGTACACATATTGTACTGAAATGCTCAAAGTATAAGCACTGAAAATAACTCTTATAATACGGGATCTCAGTATACTTTATGTGCAAATTCTCATTATACTTTATGTGCAAATTCTCAGTATACTTTATGCGCAAAATCTCAGTATACTTTATGTGCAAATTCTCAGTATACTTTATGTACAAATTCTCAGTATACTTTAATATGCGCAAAATCTCAGTATACTTTATGTGTAAATTCTCAGTATACTTTATGTGCAAAATCTCACTAATCTCAGTATACTTTATGTGCAAAATCTCAGTACACTTTATGTGCAAAATTTCAGTATACCTTATGTGCAAAATTTCAGTATACCTTATGTGCAAAATCTCAGTATATTTTATGTGCAAATTCTCAGTATACTTTATGTGCAAAATCTCAGTATACTTTATATGCAAAGTCTCAGTATACTTTATATAATGTGCAAAATCTCAGTATACCTTATGTGCAAAATCTCAGTATACTTTATGTGCAAATTCTCAGTATATATACTTTATGTGCAAATTCTCAGTATACTTTATGTGCAAATTCTCAGTATACTTTATGTGCAAAATCTCAGTATACTTTATGTGCAAAATCTCAGTATACTTTATGTGCAAAATTTATTCTTTGCCAGTATTATATTATTTTGAACTAATAGAGTTCAAAACAAAGGTCGAAGTATTGAAGCGACATTTTTTCGTGTCAAATACCCGTCAATTTGTGTTCGCGAAATTTTCTGAGATAAAACTTCTCACAGGGATTATTTTAAGAAAAATTTAGAACTGCACATATAGAGATGTTACGAAGGCAACAGGTGTTTGACTAGGGAGTTGAAGGATTTTTTATCTGCATATAGGTGACAGAATAATGGTGTGGTTGGAGAATTGGAGAAAGGCCGAACAAACTCGATTTTGGGTGCGGCAGCTAGGGAGTGTTCCCCAAAACAATTTGAATCTAGAGGCTCTTAGTTCTGACAAAGATTTGTTTACCCAACCACTCACAAAAATTGTTTCAAAACATGTAACTGGGAATCATGGATATTCAATATATAACAACCTTAAATTTGCATTTGAGGCAGCAATGAATATTAGGTTCTCCCACTCTAATCTCTTTTGGGGAGCTTCGCTCGCCCCAGTTTTACCTTCTTTTCCATTACGCCAGCACGTAAGTGATTTGTGAGGAAAATAGGAGGGTCTGGAGTCCTCCCTCAGAACACTTATATATTTTTGATCAGTGGCGTGCTGGCAGGGGGGGCCGGGGGGCCACGGCCCCCCCAGCTGGCAATTCTTGGAGGGCGCAAAAATGAAAAGGGGGCGCCAAATTTTGAAAGTGGGTGGAGTGGTTACTTCCGCCAAGAAAAGATGTGTTTAATTCATAGGCTTATAGACAGACTAAGCGCATAGACTGCAACAAAGTGATATATTAAATTGCAGACTATTTTGTCTAACCGTATTTGCTCATTTGCTAGCCTACCTCACGGCTCACACAAAATCGTTCGTATATGATCAGTGATCACACGCAATGTCTCATTGCCGGAATATTGGTCAGGTTTCGGAGCGGTCATGGGAATTATGCCCTTTTTTTGCTGGTATTATGCCCTTTATTATGCATCACGAGAGCAGCGCAAATTAGATAGTTTTTATATGATAATTTTAAATTGTGTACGCAATTTAGTTGTTTGTGCAAGAAACATCATGACTCATGAGTAATGTAAGTAATAAGATGATGCTGAAACGCGCCCTTTTGGCAGCCAAGCAAGGAAACCTTAAAATGCATATGCGTGGGGTCCGTGTGTTATTGTATAAAGGAGCTGTAAGTTGTAAATCTATTCAGATCACTAGATCAGTAGAGAATATAATTGGGATTATATTAATCGCTGGAATTAGTCAGCATTGCCCAATTGAAGTACTACTACTAAATTCTATAACCAAATTGCAAATTTCGACGTTATAATCCCGTTTCCTGACCATCAGATTTCTGTCTAACCTTCCCCACAAAGTCCAGGAAATGGCATTTCAGAGACCCTAAATTCAAAAATTTTCCGGGGGGGGAATGCCCCCGGACCCCCCTAGATAAACCTCGCACCTGCGGCGCTCGGTTCGTGCTTTCGTCCCTCGTTTATCAAGCGTTACAATATAGGGGCGCATATTAGTTCATAGACGACTGGCCCCCCCAGAAAAATAGTACCCAGCACGCCACTGTTTTTGATGCTCAATTAATGACAGCAATTCTGGAATTTTCTGGAGCACCCACAAGGGTAACGAGTAAATGAGAAGACTGTTTTAATTAAAGCTATTTTTGTTAGTTTGGTGACTGCACATTTGAGTTTTAAGAACTGCATAAATGGGTTTAGAACTGCACATTTTGTGTAGAACTGCACGTTAAATTAAAGGGTGAGGGTGAGTAGGGGTATACAAATCCGCCGATCCGCCCAAATTTGAAGCAAAATCCGCGATCCGAGCCAAAATATTAGATAAATCCGCAATCTGCTGTATTAATAAGATCCGAAATCCGTGTAAAACATTCGCCTGCAGATCCGAAATCCGGACAATTTTTTCTGTGAAATCCGTCGATCCGAAAACCTATTCACTCCCTTAAAATAAACCCTGACTTCTCATATTTTATAAAGGCAAGTACAATAGTCAATAACTTTGAAATGAAGTCTCAGTATTTTAATGCATTTCTGAGGTAAATTGATTGATTATATACCATATTTTATAAGAATAAGCGGTCAAAATACGACAGGGTAACGATCGACGTTATCTGAAGTGGGTGGGTGGGTACGATAGATCGTGGGTACGATAGATAGGTGGTACGATAAGGTCGATTCGACGTTATGCGTGGCAACATGAATATGGACGTGGCCCCTCTATGCGTGGCCCCTTATTGTTACCACAGAATGTGACCAAAACGCGGGTAGCCTGTTGCCGTCAGCTTACATTTGCTCCAAGTCCCCTGTTTATATGGAAGCCGGGCTGGCCCGCTTAGGCTTAGCGAGACAGCCTGGTAAGCGGAATGAATTTTAATTGTGTTTATATGAGAAACTTTCATCATCCCGCTTGCCCGGGACATTTTGTTATTTTGATATTTATTGAGTTTGCCAGCAAGTTAAAAACTGATAGCTTGCGGCGGTATCTTTGAACTTTCATTCC